GCTCTTGGCATTCACACCCACAATTATATTCTGCATGCTGCTTGTAATTATCTCACTGCTGTCAGAGCCTGCATGGCTTCCCACACTTCAGATCTGCACAGCATATCTGAGATCATAATTACAGTCTTGAGCTTAAGTTCAACAATTTAAAATAAAATTTAAAGCAATGAATTGTCTACAAACAGAGCTGCTAAAATGTACCCAATGTAAGTGCCCATTTGTCTTGGTCCTCTTTCAGAATTGAGTGAATACCTTTTTTTGTTTGTTTGTTTGCTTGCTTGCTTTGTTTGTTTGTTTTGTTGGCTTGTTTTTCTTTTTCTAACAGCACACACACACACATACTCACCATGCACTTTTTTATACTAATGTAGGGATTGTAATTATCCCCTAAAGTCTTTTCTCATTTCATGTGAGGGCTACTGGCTAGTACTAGAATTACTGGTCTAAAGAAGATGAAATCCTGCATGATTCATGATAACCTGAAACATCTTAAACAGTTACACACTGGATTCTGTATTTACCATCATCAAGCTACAGGAGTTCTAGAAAACACCCACACTTCTCTTCTGCATCTCTTCTTAATGTTCAATGTGTCTTCTACCTGTTAGTCCTCGCTTCAGGGAAACAGCTTCCCCATCACCATTCCTGAAAGCACAATCAATTATCTCCATAACCCAAAATCTAACAGACATTTTGGCCATGATTTTACTTGACATAATCGTAGTATTTCACAGTGTTACCGATGACCTTGGGTATGAACCACTACTACATCTTGGCTTCCGTAATCTCTACCTTTTTGTAATTCTACCTCAGTTGCTTGGCTGCTTCCGCACAATTTCATTTTCTGAAGTAATATATGCACTTTTCCATAGACATGCTTTGTGTAGATGTGCTTTGTGCTAACCGATTGTACCACTAGAGTTCCTTGTGTGACCTTTCACAGGCTTGGTCATAATTCTGTCCTATTAATCTACCATCTCTTTCTAGACAATCCATCCTTATCATAACTTCAGCTTATAGCAACATGTAGATGACCTATCATATTTTATATTCAGTCCTGACCTCCACTTACTAGAACGCACATATATCCAAAAGCCCCTCTTGTGTTTTCCTTTGCAAATTCAAGTTGAGTGAATGAATGAGCTTTTGGTTGTAAATCTAATCTTTGTTCATGTTCTCAGATCATTGAATTGCAACCCATAAAACAGAAACCAGGACCCTAATGCCTCAGTCTGGGTTCTGTAGACTAGATTAAGACATTAGCATGTTCAGTATGCATGACCATTTTCTTGGGAAGAACAAAGCATGCAGCTCCAGTGAATGACAGAGAAGTGAATTGGAGAGGGTGGAAATACAATACTATGATGTTTTGCAAGTGCCAACAATTGCCCCTTCTCCCAGATGACTCTTTAAATTGGCTGTTCAAACTGTATGCCCAGTTATCCATAAGAAAAAAAAAAGAAAAAAAGGAACCGGGAGTGGTGACACACGCCTTCAACAGAGAGAAAGAGAAAAAGAGAAAGCAAGAGAGAAAGAGAATTGATATCATTTATATAACTTTTTATGAATTGAAGAAAGAAGTCCTCTAACCTACTTGATAACAGTTTTCATACACAATTTTCAGTTTGGGATCTTTAGAAATCTTAGCAGGATGCTAAGGGTTGTCTAACAGACTGCTGAAATTATTCCCTGGGATGAGCAAAGAAGGGAACTTCCATCAGATAATGACAATGACAGGAGTGGCTCAGAAAGCAGACACAACCCCTTCATTATCTCTTCGGGGACTCTGAGGCTAGGAGTTCCCGCTGATTGGGTATCTTGTGAGGTCATTGGAGCCCCCCCTTCTCTTTTGGTCCCCTTGTTTTTCTACCATTTTTTCTCTCAATGCCTTCTGGGAACAAAGTCATGGTATCTCAGGAGGCCTGTGTTCACTTCCTTGACTATTTATGTCTAACTCTACTGACAAAGGAGTGTCCAACCCTAACTCTGCTCTTCAGTTTCCACTTGTGAGAACTTTATTACTGTGCACAGATTACGCATCATCTGTTAGCCTTACTCTGTTTCACTAGGAATTACCTGCCTTGGTAGAGATCTTTAACAGACCATGCTGATGGCTGTCTCGGGAGGTGGGAGCATGAACAGATGGAGACTCCTGAAGACAGGGGCTCACTGTAGTATGCTCATTTATCAGAAAGTGTGTCCCTTGGTCCTGATACACTATGGTGCAGGCTTAAAGTACCAATCGATACATTATTGTATCCTGACACACTATGGTCCAGGCTTAAAATACCAATAGATTCATTATTGTATAATGTTTGCAAAAATTGAGATTCTGACACAGGAATGGACAGTAGCCAGACAATATAGGAAAAAAAAACCTAACTCAGAGACTGAATCAATAACTCTGGGAAATCCAAAACAGTGTATTTGTAGCAATTAGCCCAAATTTTCACTATTCGATCAATGATTAAAGACTTCTTAATTTTCCACCCAGTTTTACCTTTAGATGAAATAGAGACGCTAAATATGCCACACCATCCAATTAGATGCCTACTTCTGGTAAGCTTGCCATACCTTCTCCAAGCCAACAGGCTCCAGCAGGAACATCCTGAGTCCTCCCATTCTTCTTTACTATGAATCATTTATACTCACTCCCTGCTGGTGACTATTGGCCAAATTGAGGTAAAGTTGGCTGACTCCCTTTCTGCAGGAAGCTCTGTAGTAGCCTTTGCTCTTTATTCTAATTGCCTATCAGAGGGTGACCTTGGGACTCCCCTAAACCACTATTGATGGGTATTTTCTTAGTCTGACTATGAACGCTTCGCTGGTATTTTAACTTCATTTTCAATTCCCTGTTCTGTGTTTGGCAAAACAACAAGAGAAGTAAATGAGTTATGGCATTGATATTCCTTTCACTGCATGAATGAAACCAGAAAATGAACAGAAAGGAGAGGACAAGTGAGAACAAGAAGTAGATCTTGGAGAATTAATAAGTTTACGATTATAAATCTGTGTAGTTGTTCAGTAAACCATAATCACAAAAATAAGCTCCAGGTAACAATAGTAGGCTAAAAGAAAAAAAAAAATCCAAGGTAGAGAAGGGTACAACAGAATTTGAGAACGTTTCTGGGAGAAAGGATGGCAGTGTTCACGTCCCATGGAGGTATAATCAGCTCCACACTGGTGTTTCAGCTACCTGTAGAAAGAGTATAAATGTAGCTTGCACCGAGTAGACTCAGTGTGAATTCTAACCTTGATACTATCATTTATTTACTTATTTTCATCTCTGTAATTTAAGGGAGTGATTGTTGCCTCTAGGCTTAACTAGACTCCAGTTGAAAGGGGCTGTGTCTCAACACATTGCTTGCTTCAAATCTTTAAGAAGATGATTATTTTAAAAATTCTAGTTTCCTCATATCAAAAATAAGCATTTGCTTCATGGCATAATAAGCATTTTAATGAACATAAAACATCAACTTTACCCAGCAAGCACTTGATAACATTAACTTTCTTTCAAATATACCAGTTGAAGAGACAATTGAAGCCTAAGTATCCGGAAGACTTGAGTGGAGCTGGATTGCTGACCAGTGAGCTGTAAGGAGCTGCCGGTCTCTGCCCCTTCCCCCACTCCTGGGACTGCAAGCTTCTCATGTGGGCACTGGGGATCCAAGCTCAGGCCCTCACAGGGAACCATCTCCCTGCCTCTCTTTTCTCCATCTGTGCTTTCTTTGTCTACTAGGATGTCTGGCGTGAATTGAACACAAATAGGCTTGAGGAATGAATAAAATTATATATGTATGAATTCATGATTATCTTATTATTACTATGTTAATATTCTGTATCTGGACCAATGATACGTATGTGCAAACACATGGTGTGTGTGTACAGCAGCCACTGGAGACAACCTTGTGAAACCACTTCTTTCCATTTACTTCCATGTGGGCTCCGGGACTCAAACTCGGATCTCCACACTAATGAAGCAAGGACTTTATTGCTGAGCCAGCTCACCAGCCCCTGCACCAGGATTGTTTTGGAAGTAATTGCCTTTGATTTCACGTTGCTCTCAGCTAAGAACACTGTAAATCCTTTATCATCAAACCAATTATTTCACAACGATCAAGAAGCTACTTGTCTCTTAGCTGGCAGGGAATGTTTTGGGATCTGTGAAAACTGAAAGGGTATCTAACAAATGAAATATACTTTAATTAACCATAAGTTTTGCTACTCAGGCCCAACTCCTTTTTACTTATTCAATTTAGGTTTATCCATAGATTAAAATAATATTGACAAATTTATTCTCTGCCTCAAAGGCTCCAGTAATAATTATTTCCACAGTATCTCTCTACAAATTAAGCCTTCTGACTCTGCTTGGACTTGGTAATTGGTGAGTAGCTAACATGAAGAAAAGTGTAGAGGCCAGCTTGCAAGATTCCTGCAGTGTGCTTGCCCTGCACAGCTAAAAACCTGCCATTAACACCTGTTGGGTGTCTCATCCAGAAGATGATTCATGTGGCTCCTTCATTAGCGTTTTTCTTTATTTTTATAGTCAGTCATCTTTCTTTTCTCATTCATTGTTCTATTGTTCTGTCATTCATCACTTCATAAAAGAAGCGTTTGTGTGTGTGTGTGTGTGTGTGTGTCTTACACCACATGCACAGAGGTCAGAGGATGACTTTGTGCAGTCAGTCCTTGCCTTCTGCTTTGACCGTCTGTTGTGGGTTTAATCCTCTGTGAGTTCATTGCCAGCCTGGTCTAGACAGTGAGTTCAAGGACAGCCAGATCTATGTAGAAGGACCCTGTTTTGACCTTCCCCCCCCCCAAAAAAAAGGAAAAATTAGAAATTCTATGGCTCGCTCATTTTCTGCATGCTGCAGTAAATCATACATTTAAGTTTGTTCTTATAAAATGTTATTGTATTGTTTTATATGGGGGAAACGATGCATTAATCTAAACTGCCAGATTAATTTTTAAAAACACGCACAGTGAAGTTCTGAATGCTCCCTGCCCCTAGAGGCATTGCAGGTGTGACAGCTGTGTGCTGTGTGCATCAGCAGGTGGCAGAGAGGAGAGAGCCTCCGTCCACACGCGGTGTTCCGACCTGGGAGCAGCTGAGTGTAGCAGCCTGACATTTCCTGTGAAATGATGGCCTGAGATGACCACCGGCGTAGAGCCAAAGGGGCGGACAGAAAGCTAGCCTGGGATAACCACCCATCTATTGCCTTGCCTGCCTGGGGGCGTGGAGGCAAACCATGCCCGAGATGACCCCGATCGGGTGCCACGATGCACGAGTGGGGAGGGGCATAGCACTCCTGAGACTACTTCTGAGATGACCCCAGACGCTGAGAGACCCTGGGAGCCGCTAAGAGGAGCAAGTAAGTGGTAGAGAGATGGAGGAGATCACAATGAAGAGAGGCAGAACTGGAGTTTCAAGAGTAGCTGGTGATGCCACTAGCACCATGGTGGAGTCGTGGCCTGCACAGCCACTGGGAGCCATGTCTGGGTCCACAGCGCTGCAGCAGCAGGGGTTTCTGTTACCACCAAAAGCCAGGCAGCTGTTGCTGATCTGTGCTGCTCGCTGGGAACATGTTGATATCTGAGGGATGTGCAGAACTGGCCCCACCCCTCCCCTGGGCCTGGGAGAGCTGGCCCTGGGTATGAAAGCAGGAGAGCTGTCCCTGCCCCTCGCCAGCTGCAGCACTCAGGAGAGTGGACCCTGCACCTCACCTTGGCAACACAGTAGAAGCTGGCCCTGGATGTGGGGGTTGCAGGAGAGTTGGCCCCAAGGGTCAGAGTGTGGGAGAGCCGGCACGGCCTCTTGTCTGCTATTCAGTGGGTAGGGAGGGAACCCCTCTCCTCCCTTTGGCCCTCACCACCAGTGATGGGCAGAAGAGCTGGTTCCAAAAGAGTCGTGAGAGCAGGAGGGCTTTTCCTGCCCGTCACCTGCTGCATCGCCAAGAAGAGCAGGCCTCTTACCAAACCTTGGAAGCATGGTAAAGCTGACTCTGATGGTGGGGGCATGGGTGAGCCAGCCCCAAGGGCGTGAGCATGAGAGACCTGGCCCAGCAACTTGTCTGCCATGGGGTGACATGGGCAAGGGAAAGATGACTCCCCCAAACCACCACCCCTTAGCACCTAAGGCAGACAGGAGAGCTGGGCCCAAGGACGTCAAGGTGGGAGAGCAGTTTCTGCCCATCACCTGCTGCAGCATTCAGGAAAGTAGGCCCTGCACCTCACCTCAGCAGCACCATAGAGCTGGCCCTGGGTTGTGGAGGTTGTGGGTGGGCTGATCCAAGAATAAGAGTGTGGGTGAGACAGATGATCCTGTCTCGTGGGAGGAAGCCCTTCTCCCCTCCCTCATGCCTTGCCATCTAAGGTAGGCAGAAGAGCTGGCCCCAGGGTCATGGGAGTGGAAGACTGGCCATACCCCTCACCAGCTACCATGCTTAGGGGGCACACCCTGCATCTCACCTGGGCAGGAGTGCAGAGCTGGCCCTGGTACCTGGAATTGCTGTTGAACCAGCCCTGAGGGCATGAGAACAAGAGAGCGAGTTTCTAAGAGGAGCATTCTGAGAGGAGTTCCTCTCGGAGTGAGGTTCTAGCATCAATATAGTAGCAGAAGCCAGAGGCCTCATGCCAGACCAACAATTCATTGCAATGAACATTTGCAAGCAAAGATGTGTGGACAAAAGGGCCTACTGTGGGACACACTACAATGAGAGTTTTTTTGTTTTTGTTTTTGTTTTTGTTTTTGTTTTCTGTGTTGGCAGGGAGGTTGAAAGGGTGGAGGGCAGATAAGAGGGAAGATAATCATGGAGTTCATGATGTAAAATTCACAAAGGACCAACAAAAAGTGGAAAAAAATTCTGAATGGTCTTATACTTTGCAGTCACTGAGAAGTTCTCATTGAAATGAAACCACAAGTAACTCAGCTACAGTCATCAAGGCTCTGAGGAACAGCAGTCAAGTCCAACTTTACCAATTCAGGTGCTGACTAAAAGCCTAGAGAGATAGTGTCAATGTTGATTTCTCAATTTTACAGTGTTTCTCTGTCCTGAACTTTAATAGATAAAGAGTTTCGTTTGTCAACACAAATAAGCATGTATAGCGCAGTAGTAGGTAAACCAGCAGTGAATGAGATGAAAACTCGTATTTGAACTTAATGCTTCCAGGAAGACAAACGTGACTTCTACATTTGACAGATTTCTAAAATGTATTGCCACAAAAAAAGCTGACAAATTTTATTTTATTTTTAAACATCTTATTACAAAAAAATGCTTCAATGAATATTTTGCAGCTGTATATAATGCTAGCTTAGACAGTCCAAAAAAGTTAATTAATTTTATCCCAATTGAATATTCAGCAATATGGAAATAGAGTCACACATTGGATTTTTGAAAAATAACCCTGGTCAAAACTTTCGAGTAACTGTTCTTCTAAATTTCTGGAACATAACAGATGAAGACTATTTGGTATACTCGTATATGCTAGGGTGACTAGTGGGTAACAGTGTAATTTGAACTGTATAATTCAAAATACCAGAACATTTTCAAAGGTTTCCACCATATAGAAATTATATGAGAAGATGAAAAAGTGCTTGGTTAAATATTGCCCCCTGAATACCCATACAAAACCATGGGATTTTATGCATTAATGTGTCAGTTTTGTATATCAATTTAAGTAACATTTTAAATGAGACTTTAAGACATGCAGGCTTTGTGTGCAAGGGAGAGGTAGAAATTGGTGCTGCATACCACCCAGCCCAGCCTGACCTAGAACTTCAAATCTTGCCCAGCCTCCCAACTGCTTGGACTAAAGGTGTGCACCAACATGCCCAGTGTCAACTGCTTTGAAAAGAAACAATAAACAAATGAAATTTACTTTCACCACTTATAACTTTTTTAATGACTTAGGGATACTTTCTGATGCTTTGATAAGAAACAATCAGCTATCAATTCAATTCTGTAGCTGATGTAAGAGTACAGCTGATATATTTCTCAGATGTTGGAATCCAGCAAAATAACTTAATTGTTCATATCATTAGATTTTTTTAAAATTACAGTATAAGAACTCAAAAAACATATTTGCATAAAATATTGTCTGATTTATATATTGAATTTACATGTAAGGATAATATTTTTCCTTGGATAATTTTTGTTTTGTCTTTGTTATTTAATTACATGATTTTATTTATTTTTTAAGAACTTTATTTATTTTACATCCCAATCACAGCCTCCTCCTCTTCTTCCAGTTCCATCCTTCCCCCTCTTTCTCCTTTTTCCTATCCCCATATACTCATAAAAGGGGAGCCATTCCCCCACTTACAATCCCACCCCAGCTCAACAAGTTGGATCAGAACTTAGTTTATCCTCTTCTGTTGAGACCAGACAAGGCAGCCTGGCTGGGAGAAAGTGCTCCAAAAGTAGGCGACTGACTTCATGTTAGATATGACCCCTGCTCCCTCTGTTGCTATGGGACCCACATGAGGACCACTCTGCCCACCAGTTACATATTTGTCCTGGGCCTAGGTCCAGGAGATGCGTTCTCTTTGATGCTACAAGGCATTGAATGGGGAAAGTTCGGTAGGCATGTGGACTTTCTGGACGGTAGTCCAGTATTTGCCAAGTTCTGTACCATGATGCACCCCAGAATTGCTTCTAGCCTCTGTCACCCTTTTCTCTGTATCTCTCAAAAACCTGACATGGTGTGAACTGTCACTTTTCTGGGTATTTACCCACTCTGAACAATCCTTCTACAGGATCTTTAAGAAGATTCACTGCTGTTTGGGTGAATTAATTCCTGATTATAGAATTCCTGGTTTGCGTCAAACAATTTTAGAAGTTAAGAATTAAATAGTTGATAGAAAGTTTACAGCTGCAATAAATACTTTGGTGGACCTCCAGATGCCTCACTAAGAGACAGGCTTGAGACAGATTTGTGGCTTCAGAGAGCTTTCACTTGAGATGGCACCATGAATCCTGGTATATACCATAAATATTGGCAAGTTGGTTTGAACTTCCCATGAACCCAGAATGTAATGGGGCTACCAAGAAATGTTTAAATTAAATACAAACCCTAGTGTCAAAAAATACTAACTGCTTGATTGTAATTCCTTATACCTTGTCAGTTTAAGGCATAAAATACTGTCGTACTAAAGTTACTTTGTATCTTGGACTGTAAGACTAGATAAAGAAATGTTTAGCTTGGTACTGAAACATGTAATCATTAAAAGCCCTCCAATTGTAACCATTTTGTCTGCTCTCTGATAAATCCTTTTGACTCTGATGTGATTCTTATAGAAAACTTTTGTTCAACTTATAAAAAGTGTAACAAGGGCAATAGAGTTGTTGGGGCCATTTGCCGCATGTATTTATTTTCTCTCTTGAATGTTTGTGTGTGTGGATGCTCTATTTTCTATCTCTCTCTTATTTATTATCCCTCTGTAGATTCACAAATAAGTTAACAGACCCAGGGCTCCACCATCACCCCCTCAGGTGAGCAGGGGTACTTGAATTTATGGAGATCTCCACAGGAGGCCTTAGATCAAAGGGCCTCATTCACGCACCAACTGCAGAAAAAGTGGTCAGTTTAAGTTTTCTGCTCAGTGTCAGAATAGCCTGTCCTGAGCCACAAGAGGAAATCTTGTCTCTCTCCCCTCTTCCCTGTCCTTTAATCAGTTCTGTTACTGGCACCCTGTGGCAGTCTCTGAATTTAAAAGGTTTTTGTTTTGTTTTGTTTTAATTTAGGAATAGAGTATAAGAAAGAGACTTCAGTCACTGACCGACCCCAAATGAGTGATAAACATCTGACTGACCCCCAAATCGCCTACCACTGTGTTCAACTGCCTCAGTTTCCCACACGCTGGACCAGTCAAAGCTAGACTTTGACACATTGGTTGGTACTTCAGTCTCTGTAAGCCCCTATGGACCTAGGTTTGTTGACACTGTTGGTCTGCTTGAGGGGTTCCTTTCCCCCTGAGAACCTTCGATCCTTTCCCACACTCCTCCACAAGACTCCCCTAGGTCTGCCTAATGTTTGGCTGTGGGTCTCAGCATCTTTTTTGTTCCACTGCTGGGTGGAGCCTCTCAGAGGACAGTGATACTAGGCTCCTGTCTGCAAGCATAGCAGAGTAT